GTTATTTAGAATTTGATGCATTCTTTTTATAGTATACCTTTAAGTATTTTTTTTTAAAACTATTATGAAATTAGAAGTTGATTTTTTTTATCCGTAAGTAAAACCCGAAAAGCCTGAAAAAAACTTGTAGCCTTGTAAGGGCCGGGCCGGGTTTTGAAATATAGGCTCGGATATTTTTCAGGTTGGGCCGGGCCGGGTTTTGAAATATAGGCTCGGATATTTTTCAGGTTGGGCCGGGCCGGACTCAAATATATGAGGGCTTTACGGGTTTCAGGCCAGGCCGGGCCAGCCCGATTGATATGCCTATGGGAACCCGCTAATACATTTCAACAAGACAACATGCGCGAATTCAACTTCTTGCAAAAGGTTCAACAAGATTAGGCTAGATCAAACAGACAAAAACAACGCGACGATCAGACATTGACTTAACTTAATAAGCGCCTCCAGCATTCACTGACTCTGATTCCTCATATATTGGAACAGTTCGTGTGATCAAGCCACTCGACTCCGCTTCCCATATCAAGTTTCGCTTGGCCACGTATCCCAAATGCCACCTCATCTTGGTATTTAATCGCACAACCAGCCACTTATTAGCGAACAAGTAAGAAGAGAGATGGGTTGGAATACTCCATTATGCTCCGGCCACAGACTTTGCCTCTCCGATGAACCATGTTACCGTTAAATATATATTATGGAGCTCCACCTTGGTTCTTCATCAACCAAAGCCTAAATCAATGATCCATGGAAATTCTTGCAAGATTTTAGCTCAAACCAAGCCGTTGGCCCAACCAATAATGCAACCTGCAACAAATCATCAATTCATGCAAAATCTCCACATTAACACTCTATTAATTCACTACCTAACCGTTCACTTCGCAAACAAATTGTTTGATATGGGTCCTATAGTACCACGTATCATCCCACTGTATTTTAACTAGATCATCCTCCAAACATTGGCTCAAAACAACCATCTCAGACCAGTTTACGCAGTCCCTCTATAGGGGCTGTTAACGAGCGACACCAACCCTGATGTCACGACTAGGGCTTCTCTTCAAGCTCCACTTGCCCATAAAACCCTAAGTCTCCACAATTCTCACTTCCCATAAAAATAACCACAAAACCAAGTAGCCCCATAAGGCAATCACCAAGGAATTAACCCATGAATTCCTCCTAATCTAACTTACCCATCACAAATCCGTAAAAATCACTCCTAGATGAGCCTAAGAATTCTCAATTACCTTGGATTAGGAAAAAAATATTGGTAAGGAGCAAGACCACACACAACCAATGATGCTTCCCTCTCCTCTTCCACGCCACAAAAACACAACTCTCCTTCATTCCATCCTTTGTAACCATCTTCTCTCCTCCCTAACATCCCCTTTTCACTCATGGGTAGGAAAACAGCTGGGAGGGGAACCCCTAAATAGATTGAGACGTCCTCTTTTCATGGAGAATAGTTTAGGATTTGTGCGAAACCGTTAAAAAGCATACAAAACTGAGAACAAACATAGTCGGAGTCACATTTTTGAGCGACACCCCTCGGTGTTGAGCAACACCCCTTGGTGTTGAGCGACACCAAGCCCCTTAGCAGATTATAATTTATGGGCATTAAATTATTTCCCCTCTAACATAGATTCCTTATCAAATCTGATCACAAAGTCCATATGTAGAAACTTATCCCATCATTGTTACAACGGTCCACACACAAACCTGAGCCACTAATCACTTTAAGATCACGTACCTCGGCAACACTTCCAAGTTTTTTCTTAGCATGTCAAACGTTTAATCGACCTAGACAAGTCTATTCCATTTAAAAGCTATCTTAGAATCGCATACGTACGCTATAATACAAAACTGAAACACCTCAATTCGAATTCTCAATTCTTGCACATTACGCACGGAAAACGATCTCACTAGAATTCCATAAATTTCATGAGATAACCATCATTAATTACAAAAGCTTCCACGAGTTCAATCTAGATCCAACTAACCCAAACCGTGCAACAACCAAAAATTGTCATACAAACGTACTTAACTTAACAAACGCCTCAACCATTTACTAACTTTGACTCCTCCTCTACCGGACCACTTTGTCATCCGTCTGATCAAGACACTTGACTCACCCATCCCGGGGATCAAGCTTCGCTTGACAGCGTATTCCAAACAAAACCTCTTATTGGTACATAGTTTAATAACCAATCAACCCTACGCAACCAAGTAACAAGAGACATGGAGTGGACTACTCGATTCCGCTCTAGCCATGGACTTTAGCACCATCCGAGTCACCTTTTTAGCTTCAACCCTACACTCTGGAGCTTGACCTTGGTTATCCATCAACCTACACCTAACTCAATTATCCATGGAAACTTCTATAAGACTTCATCTCAAACCGAGCTCGTTACCCAACCAACAATGCAACTTGCAACTAATCAATAATTCATGATAAATATCCACATTAGTACCTTGTTAGTTCACGAACTAACCGTTTCAATCAGAAACACATTGTCAGGTATTATTTCTATAGTACTACATATCATCCCACTAAATTTTAGCTAGATCGTCCTTGAAACGTTGCCTCAAAAAACCCATCTTAGACTAGGAAAACACGTCTATGTAACCTTCTTCTCTCCTCTCTAACATCCATGCATACCAAAATCTCTCTTATGCACTCTTGAACAAGAAAATAGATGGCAAGAGAACCCTTAAATAGATTGAGGCGTCCTCCTCTTTATATTGATATTGAACCAAATCAAAACCATCTTTGATTTTGGTATGCATGGATGTTTGTTTAAGAAACCACAAAAAACTTGATATTGAACCAAATCAAAACAATCTTTGGCTCACTGTGCTGAGCAACACCCCTTGGTGTTGGTCAGCACCAAGCCCCTTAGCCGATTATAATTCATGGGCGTTACAATTATCTCCCTGTAACATAGATTCGTCATAAAATCTGAACACATAGTCCATATGTAAAAAATATTATTCCGTCACCTTAGCAATGGTCCACGCACAAACCTGAGCCACTAATCACGCTGCAGCGCCTGCTGTTGCCGGGTTGTGGCGTGGAGTCCACGGGGCAAGTTGTTACAGTAGGTGCTGGTCACGACCTAAGCTTCTCTTCAAGATTTTCTTGGCCACGAAAACCCTAGCTCTAAACAGTACTCCATACGACTAAAAACAAAGCAGCCCAGAAGGCGACAACCAAGGAAATTGCCATGGATTCCACCTAATCCATCTTACCCATCTTAACAAATCATACCCTTGATAAGCCTACGATCAGTCATATAACCGGCATGCTTCCCTATCTTCTTCCATGCTATAGCAGCAAGAATATCCGTCATGTTGTGATACCTCGGTTTCAGGTTAATATGGTCGTGTATACGAAGAGGTTAAAAAGAATTAATTTAGCCAACTATGTCACTAAAATATAATTATATTTTTGTTCAAAGATATTTAGAGAACACCAGAGTAAAGTGTGCTTATGCTAGCTAGAGTTGTAGGATGGGTGACATTCTAGGAAGTGATTATTAGAACTGTACGAGTGAGTATAAAACATAGAAAAAGATCATGTGGTGATTTGTAGGGTTTGTAACAAATATTTATAGCTTCTGGGAAGTAGCAATTCGATTGTCGAATAGGGTTAATCCCACGAGATCACAAGGCAGACCAAATAAGGAAGTTAGGCCCATGGGCTGGGAGTAGACATAGGGCATATCACAAGAGGTGACGGTTGGGGCATTATAACAAGCTGAATTCATTGTTTTCTTGAAGAAATCTTTACCATACGTTGTACATATCTTTAATTTAAGAAGAAGAATAATATGATTGAAAGTTCATTTGGACATCCTACTGTAAATTTCAAATTTCTTTTAGATCTTCAAGAAACTGTTCTACAAAATCTAAAATTATGCACTCGACAATCATATATTTCCAG